TGAGTGAGAGAACAGCATCATGAGATCAGAAGGAGAAGCCTCCCGCCCTGGGAAACCTTTCACATTTTAAAGTGTTGAAACAAATGCAAATATCTTACATATACCAGAAATGTAATGCTGCGCAGCATCGGACCATAAAAAGCTTTGTTTTAACATGCTTCTTGCATTGCTCTGAATGCAGGTCTGCAGTGAGCTAATGTGACTTTTATCAGCAACAATATGTTTCCCGTAATTGTGTGCTAAGCAAATGTGCACTTCCCAGACTGGAGGATGGCTGTGTGCCACCTGGCGCATGCAAAATACGACACAAAGAAATGCAAATGTAGAAGCGAGCAGATCAATACGCACATAAAAGTTCATGGTTTCGATCAAAGGAAAACACACAGAGCCTTGGATGTTCTCTGCTTGTGCGAGTCTATGTTTTTTTTCAAATGGCCTCTACATTTTTGTGAAACGATAGATTTTATCCATATTTGTATTTTAGTGCACAATGAAACGCAGACTTGCTGTGAATCATACCTGGAAATCTTGATCCTCAATGCCAAAGCGCTCTCGCAGGTTTCTGAACACTTGAGGACAGTACTCTTTGAATTTAAACTGTCCTGGAAGAGTCTCCCTGAGGAATAATAACAATAACGCATAGATTTAGTGTGCAGCAACATTTTACAAAAGATCTATGCTCGTGACTATTACCTGACTGAATTATATTAGGGATCCTGCTGTTTAACAGCTTCCAGATCAAAACAAGTTCAGAGAAATCTCACTAAAGTAACGGCACTTTAATCTTGGGAAAATATTTTATTGGTCCTCAAACCTCTGTTCATAAGTCTTTACTGAACCCGGATTCCTGAATGGATTAAAGGATTATTGAAAGCCTTTTAGTTTTCTAGACTCAGTGCTTATAGAAACTGAACCTAACAACAGACACTGTATAGGACAGCTTTTATAAATGATTATTATACTGTAGCACACTCTGACTGACACTCTTCCACCACTATTTCAGATAAATCCATCAAGCTAACCTTTTTTTGCCTTTTAAATTATGTTGCACAGCAAGTAAAAAAAAACACAAGTTAATGCTGCACTTCTAACTTTAGCCCATAACATCATTCTTTCTCTTTCGAGACAGAATTGCACTGCGGTCATTACTGTAGCTATAGTGTTGGTGAAGAAAAACACCGTTGCTCTCTAAAGGGGTCTGGATATTCTGATAAGCAGAGACAATAACACCGAGAAATAAATTATGAGAGGAACAAAAATCTGTGCAGTTTACAGGAAGCAAAACGAGGCTCCTGCAATCATGCAGACAGAGCTGAGCAGAGCCTATGAGCAGAGCACAGTACTTATTGAAGAGGTGGTTGTTGACTTTGATCTTGGTGCTGGCTTTGAAGTCGTCTGGGAGCAGCATGACAGGTACAGGCACCTGGCTCAGGTCATTAATCTGCGCATGATCAGTGGATAAATAGTTAATAATGAACATTTTCATACCCAGGCAGACAGAAGTGCACATTAAACGGCCTTATAGCTACCGAATGATTGACTCCCCACATCAGCACGCTCAACACGGGGTCACTGGCTCGGAAAACCTTCACTTTCTGTTGAACAAAGTGTTTCTTCTTCGTCTTCCTTTTTGGCGCCAGAGTGTTCAGAGGGTTGGAGATAGCACTGGGAGAAGACATTTTCAGGCAGGTATCCGCGTCTCCGTCTGTAGGCAGGCGTTTTGTTGTCTCTGTATGTAAAGTAGGCTAAAGTCCGCCCTGCAGCAGCCTATTAGCGCTTTGATCCAACACCCTGCGAGCCCAGCGCCTTTTGGTTCTTCAGTCCAGCAGCGAACAGGTGCAGAGCCTCCCCCAACACGGGCTGAGCCTTCATCATCTTATTTTGTGGCTCATTTCTAAGCTTTGTTAATTTGACGTGCTGTCACATTAATGATCATTTTCGTACAGGCTTGCTTACAGGCAGAACTGCAGTAATTACATCTAAATTACCAGTGCTGTACGATTCTGCAAAGTTTGGTATCCATCCGATACCAAGTAAATAAAGGGCTAGTATTGCCGATACCAATTTTTTTTACCAACTTTTGGAGACCTGAAATCTATAGAAACAAAGTATCCATCATATTCTGCTGGCCCACCTCTATTATTACAGCTCTTAGTGGTGACTTGTTAATTATAATTAGGCTTCTTACACACACACACACACACACACACACACACACA